ATGGACATCTTCACAATGTTGATTCTTTCAATCCATGAGCATGGGATATTTTTCCACTTGCTTGTGTCATCTTTGATTTCTTTGAGCAGCGTTTTGCAGTTTTCATTGTAAAGGTCTTTCACGTTTCTGGTTAGGAAGATACCAAGGTATTTCATTTCATTTTTTTGTGGCTATTATGAATGGAATTGTGCTTTTAATTTGGGTTTCTGTTTGTTTATTATTGGTGTAAAGAAATGCAATTTTCTTTTGCACATTTATTTTATATCCTGAGACTTTGCCAAAGTCCTTTATCAGTGTAAGGAGGTTTTTGACAGATTCTCTAGGGTTTTCAAGGTACACAATCATGTCATCTGCAAAGAGAGATAACTTGACTTCCTCTTTTCCTATTTGGATACCCCTCATTGCCTTCTCTTCTCTGATTGCTCTAGACAGGACTTCCAATACTATATTGAACAGGAGGGGTGAGAGTGGGCATCCTTGTCTTGTTCCAGTTTTCAGGGGAAATGGTTCTAATTTTTGTCCATTTAGGAGTATGCTGGTTGTGGGTTTCTTGTAGATGGCTTTTACTATTTTGAGGTATGTTCCATGTATGTCTAGATGTTTGAGGGTTTTTATCAAGAAGGGGTGCTGGGTTTTATCAAAAGCTTTTCTGCATCTAATGATATAATCATGTGGTATTTGTTTTGACATCTGTTGATGTATTTAATTATATTTACGGTTTTATGAATGCTGACCCAGTCTTGCATCCCAGGGATGAAGCCTACTTGGTCATGATGGATGATTTTTGAGATGTGTTGTTAAATCCGGTTTGCTAGGATCTTGTTGAGAATTTTAGCATCTGTGTACATCAAAGATATTGGTCTGTAGTTCTCTTTCTTCGTTGGGTCTTTACCTGGCTTGGGTATCAGTGTGATGTTAGCCTCATAAAATGATTTGGGGAGAGTTCCATCTTTCTCAATCACCTGGAATACCTTCAGTAGGAATGGTATCAGCTCCTCCTTAAATGTCTAGTAGAATTGTGCTGGAAAGCCATCTGGTCCAGGGCTTTTTTTTTTTTAGGTAATTTTCTTATTATGTAGTCAATTTCCTTGATTGTTATTGGTCTATTTAGGGTCTCAATTTCTTCTTGTTTCAACCTAGCCAGGTTGTGTGATGTCAGAAAGTCTTCCATTTCCTTAAGGCTTTCAAGTTTGTTTCCATACAAGTGTACATAGTAGTCTCTCATGATCTTTGGTATTTCTTCAGGGTCAGATGTGACTTCATCTTTTGTTTTTCTGATTGTTTTTATTTGGGCTTTTTCTCTTTTTTTCTTGGTCAGTCTAGCTAGGGGATCATCGATCTTGTTTATCCTTTTGAAGATTTCTGTTTCATTGATTTTTTTGTATTATCTTTTTGTCTTCTATGTCCTGAATTTGGAATTTTATTTTGGTGATATGGATTCTTCTGCTGAAATTAGAGTTTTTGTGGTCTTCTTTTCCAGCTTCCTTAGTTGGCTTTTTAGACTGTTAATTTGTGATCCTTCCATTTTCTTCATGTGAATTTGTAGGGATATGAATTCTTCTCTTAGTACAGTTTTCATGGCATCCCAAAGATTTTGATAAGATGTCTCTTCATTTTCATTTGTTTCCAGGTATCTTTTAATCTCTGTTTTGATTTCATTGTTGACCCAGGTGTTGTTTAGTATCATGCTATTTAGTGTCCACGTTTTTGTGGGTTTTGGTGGGACCTAGTTGGTGTTAATGTTTATTTTTATTCCACTGTGGTCCTAGAAGGTGCATGGTAAAATTTTGGCCCTT